AACCGCTGCCCGTTCTCATAACCGTGGCCGGGCTTCCTGTGTCAATAACTGAGATCAAGACACCGTTGACATGCGATGTTCTCGGCGTTTACGAACAAACCCACTTATATCGCAAGTTTTTTTACGATGAGTGTGTTAGTCGAAGTGCAAGGACATGTAACAACAAAGCGTTTCATGATCTCAAGTTGTCATTGCTCCGTCTGATAGCTGTTATGGTCCGGAGTGTGGGTGCCCCAGGTCTGACACACCACCTTCCCCCTCTCAGGTGTACAGTTAGCTCTGACACCCCGGGCCTCCCCCTCCCAGGTGTTCCGGGAGACGGGTCGCCAGGAGCTCTCGCAGGGGGAGCGGTGTCTGCAGGCGTCTGCCGCCGACGAGTCGCCCACTCTGGCCGAGTGTCACCGATCACTGGGCGACCAGCAGTGGAACTACGGCGCAAAGGTGGGTAGCTAATACCGCACCAGCAGTGGAACTACGGCGCAAAGGTGGGTAACTACTAACTAACACCGGACCAGCAGTGGAACTACGGCGCAAAGGTGGGTAACTATCCCGGACCAGCAGTGGAACTACGGCGCAAAGGTGGGTTGCTACCTCCGGACTGGCAGTGGAACTACGGCGCAAAGGTGGGTAACTACACCCGGACTGGCAGTGGAACTACGGCGCAAAGGTGGGTTATAACGACCAACGACCCCTCAGCAGTGGAACTACGGGGCAAAGGTGGGCAACGACCAACGACCCTACAGCAGTGGAACTACAGGGCAAAGATGGGTAACGACCAACGACCCCTCAGCAGTGGAACTACGGGGCAAAGGTGGGTAGCTAATACCGCACCAGCAGTGGAACTACGGCGCAAAGGTGGGTTATAACTACCAACGACCCTTCAGCAGTGGAACTACGGCGCAAAGGTGGGTAATGCTGGTCCAGCCAGCCAGAGAGAGGCGCGGAGAGGAGCTGTGAAGCCAAGATAAGTTATGGTGGTGAATTTGTATCGACTCTCTGACTTCTAGCAGTGGAGTAATGGAGGCATGATGATGTACACTGTCTGAGGGTACCTAGCGTTGCACCACGCCGTCTACATCTGCAGCACACCGACTCCAGCAGCCCACTCGGAAATTCTGGCTGACCTCTCCCCCCGTTCCGCCAGGTGGGCTCGCCGGTGTATAACCTGGCGGTCGGCCTGTGCCTCTCGGCCCCGGAGCGGCGTCCCGGCGCCCCTGTCGCAATGACAGAGTGCCGAGACGAGCCGGGCCTCACCTGGGACGTGCTGGCCGAGAGCTGACCCCGCAGTGACCTGAGAGCTGACCCCGCAGTGACCCAGCAGTGACCGGCAGTGACCCTGGCCGGGTCGGACCGCCGGCGGTCCGCCGCCGACTGGAGCGGCTGGCGGAGAGCTGACCTCGCAGTGACCCGCAGTGACCCGCAGTGACCCGGGCCGGGTCGGACCGCCGACTGGGCCGGCTGGGGCGCGTGTTAGGATGGCGGTTTGGTGGCAGGCGGGGACGGGATATGTAGCAGAGGGAGAGGGGTAGGGGGTAGACGTGTTTTGTCCCCAAGGGACCTATGGAACTGTCGGGGGAGCGGACGGAGCATGAGCCTGCAGATCTGATCAGGGGGTGAATGGTGGTCTCTGGGTATGATAGAGCACGGTCAATGGTAAACAGCACACGCATCGGTGGGGGCGGATCGAATCACCGAATTGTTTTACCTGGATGTGCAGATGTATAATATGCAGGCACTAATCGCGAATGTCTGCTACAGAGCTTGTGCAGTCTTTGTTTTGTTAATCAATTTGATATTTTTATAAGAATTTTAATGTTGAGCCGTTAATGTGTGCTGTATGATTGGCTGGCTGGAATCGCTGTGTGATCTGTTTCACCGAACTAACCCCACTGCCAGTGCCGTCTCATTCCATCGTAACAATCTTACACCGTCAACGTTGCTGGTTTTACTGATCAAACCAGAATGGCCGCATGGCTTACGATTTAACTGCACAATATTGGCGTCTTATAATGATCGCGATAGACCGGTTTTGCGATTAATCGGACCACGTCTGTTGAGGTTGTGACGGTTGTGTTTGGGCGTTACGGTATAGAAATACTAACGCTGATCAGTGAGATTTCGCCATGTCGTATAGTGCTGTAGCGGATTCACGTCAGGTCGAAAGTACTTCGTGTTTTATATGTCGCTCGTTTTTATTTCGGCAAAACTTTCTAGTATCGTGTTTTGTGCATTGTGTCCGTTCGTGCACATCGCTGGTAGGTATCGTACGGCACTAGGCTGATATGGTGGCGTCACGTCCTTTTGTCGCTTGAAGCAGCTGAGTCACGTGCAGTTGGTTGTTGGTTGTGGTGGCAATCAGATGCGTCAGATGGGCCTTTCTCGACAAGAGGATCGATAAATGGCCCGAGGGAATGCTATTTTGTGAGTGTTTGTGCCCCGACACAGGCTTCGTAAAAATGATGCTCCTCGATGAGCCGGGACGTAGTGAAGCACTGCATTGTCGTTCCGTTTTGCAACTTGATGATGCTATAACACCCGAAAGGCAATAAAATCACTTCGTTTTCATCCATGCTCTGCAGTTTTATGATACGCCTCAGTGATGCGGGAATCGGGATGGTCAAGCCAGCTCTATGAGTTTGGCGATTTGACCGGTGCTGACGGTGGCTGACCATTTAACATGAGATTTCCAAGCTCTGTCGGAGAAGTATGCTACTGCACAAAGCATGCAGGTTGCAACACTACTCCAAAGGATATGGAAGGCAACATTAGGCTTCTTTGCCCTCTAGCGAACAGTGGTGCTATCCGTGACCATCTATTGCCGACCGGTGTCCTCCCTGGCTCCGCTGGGAATGCCAAACGCCAAGTTCAGATAGGTATACGTTTTCAACCAAATGTATTTCCTGACTTGAGGCAAGGAAGGCTAGGCTAGGTTCCGCATGTTGTTACCCTTCAGATTTTTAGATAGCATACACAAAAGTACTACGAAATGAGTGTCTTTGGTATCAAAAAATATCTCATTTGGTAGCCCTACAGATAAACGTTTGTGGTGCTTTGTAGACGTGTGACGTGCATTGCATTTTGCCATTTGGTGGGATGTAATGCATCAGTGCTGCCAGATTTGGAGGATTTCCGCAAATCTGGAGGATTTTGAACTCTATTTGCGGACAAATTTCGCTTTTGGAGGATTTTTGAATCTGGAGGAAAATCTGGAGGATTTGTCGCCCGATGATTATATTCAATTTCATGGAAAAATATAACACATTCAAGACTAAAAAGGCATTTTCCTGCCCAGCGTCACTATACCCGTTAGGATATATCACGTCCTTTATCACCGTGAGACTGCAGAATGTCTCAGTCTGTAGCTATATCTACGAGGGTACCAAACTACTGGCGGATCTAAGGGGGACATTTGGGGCAAATGCCCCCGGTTCCCCTGCAGCGCCCGAAATCGACGAAAATGATCGTTTCTTTTTGAAGGATAAAACGAAAACTAAACAACTTTTATAAGAAAAAGTATCTTTTAAACTGCACAGCAGTGCGAAAGGATTCGAAATCCGATGGTTTTTAGAATTTGGTGAATTTTTTGGGGGGGTAGAGCCCCCCGCAGCGTCCAAGACCGCCTTGCTATATCTACCAATAGGATTTGGAGGAATCTGGAGGATTTTTGTAACTGATCTGGAGGATTACAGCATTCCCCATCTGGCAGCACTGTAATGCATTTTAACGTAGTTTATTATATTTTAAGCGAGTGCATTAGCTATGTGGACTGGAGACTATACATTCCATGACTTACTAACATTTCAATTTATTTAGATTGTCACATGGAGAAACAATTATTTGTTTTTTGAACTATGGAGAGAAGTTTGGTTGCGGGCAGTTGACCTCCATTTTTAATTTGTTGATTGAAATATTATGTATTTAATGTTTCTATAGCCCTGAACATGCTATGTATGCTTTGGGGTTTGATGAATGATAATCAGCAATTTTTTGTGACGTAGATGACTGGTAATCGCCACGCCATGTGTGGATCGCCCATGATTGTAAATACAATACAATACAATACAATTCAGTGTTTGGTTTTTCCCATGCACTTCGGCCCAATCTTACCAAATGCCGCGCATTCACAGCATTTGGTAACATTCAGAACTATTCCACATTCACTTATTCATTCATTCAGGCAATATTCACAATCATTCACACTATCAAAACTATTGGACAAGATTAGCTGGATGTACACAAAAAGGATATCTTTGATATCAGTGCTGAGCTGAGTGCCGTAAACTTTGGCTAGTGCTGCCAAATCCTATTTACGGCACTGGTAAGATTGGGCCCTTGAGCGTGTAGTGTGCAATAGTACCACCAGCATTTTTCAGCTAATTCCTATAATTCCACAGCAGACAGCAATAAATAGCAGTCAATAATTTTTGATACCTAATAGAAAAGGTGTCTGCACAGAAGAATACCCGTTCTACTTTGCATGCAGGCAAACAAGCTCATGGGAATTTAATTTCCATTGGCATTGGGTCTGGGTGACATTCCTTGCTTTTAGTTGGTGGTTGGCCTTTAGCCTTACTAAAAAACATACATCCAGGAATGATAGCAGATAGGTAGCCTGCAGCTCAATGGGTTCAAATTAAATGTAATTGAAATTGGAAATAACATTGAAATGCTAGAAATGTTTTATGGCATCATTGACTCATGACATGAAGACTTTGACCTGTAGTCTGCATTGCTTTTGTCTATTTTGTTTTTGGTTATTGAAGGATGATGCATTTACCAGTGAAACTGAAGCTGGGGTCCCAATGATTTTAGACAGATGAATTGGGTCCAATGCTAAGCTATTGTTCCTTGTCCTTAATCTAACAATGATGATAAGTGGTACAGTTAATGCCATTTAATTCATTGGGGGGATGTCACTGACCTACTAACATAATCTGGCCTAGCCCAGCCGGCCCAGCCTAAGCCAACCCAACTTAACCTTACCCCTAGGCCCTAACCCATCCTTACCTAATTTCACATAGCCTTACCTAACTCGAACACCTATCCAACACCTAACACCTAACTGGTTGGGTGTTAACACTCTGTCCAGTCTGGCAGAGGGCTAGGTAAGATTATGTTTGGTCAGGGCAGTTTGCCCCTCAGTGGATCAATAGCTACAAAAGCTGCTGCACTAAAAAGTAACATGTTATTTTCAGATTCAGGCAACTCACCTGTTCAACTAACCTGTCGGGGTTCCCTACCTGATGGGCACAGCCATATGGAATAGTCCAGGAAGGAAGGAGGGAGGGAACCTGCAAACAGATACATGGAAAGGGTCAAAATTCTCCCTAAAAATGCTGTAGATCTCAGCTTCAGTAATGCTGATTCAACTGCAATGGCTTGATTAGAGCTAATTTAACAATTCTTACAGCAGAATTCAACATGGAATTTGAATGTTTGATATGCAGCACTACCTGTAAGCTCCGCAAAGGTAAAACAGTGCCAAATGAGCTGCAAAAATGGCAGGAAGAATGTCCCAAAAGGATGGACTCAGATGGACTCACATGGATCTTTGATCTCGACATCAAATGGTGAGGCATTCATTGTGTGCATTTTTTCTAGCAACTCATGTTTTGAGCTCTTTGTTTAGCTTTTTTATCTCAAAGTAATATCAGGCTGCTACCCTTGTATTGTTCGTAGGCTGCATTTGTTTCTGATGGGTGAGTCAGGGACACACTATCGCCGCCTCTGACCGCCCGGCCTGTCCCTCACCGACTGACGTGTGTGTCCGCGCCACTAGTCTGGACCGGGAGCGGTGCGTCTGCCGCACCTGCTGCGACCTGCTCAGCGACCTGGAGGGCTACGAGGCGCTGGCGCGCGGGGTGCGGGCCGAGCTGCTGCAGCGCCACCAGGCCGGCCGGGCGCACCAGCCGCTACCAGCCGACGACGGTCAGTCGGCGGAGCGGAGGGGCAGGGGCAACAGGAAACGGCGGGTCAGTGCCGCTGCCTGGGGAGGGAGATATCGCGATTTTAACATGGATTGGTGTTATTTGATTTATGAACCTATGGAAGTGAGGAGGTGAAAGTATGTCGGTTTGCGGAATGCTGACTTAAATATCTGGTGCCCCCACTCTATTGCCGTTATCGCTTGCCATCTGCAGTCTTTTTCGCTATCACCAGTATGTACTTATGCACTGACGGGTCGCTGGTCGGTCTGAACTCCGTTCTGCGTGCGGCCAGTCTGACCCTCCCTCCGCCGACTCGGCAGACTCTGTCAGTCTGACCCTCCCTCCGTGTGAGTCTGACCCTCCCTCCGTGTGAGTCTGACCCTCCCTCCGTGTCAGTCTGACCCTCCCTCCGTGTCAGTCTGACCCTCCCTCCGCCGACTCGGCAGACTGTCAGTCTGACCCTCCCTCTGTGTCAGTCTGACCCTCCCTCCGTGTGAGTCTGACCCTCCCTCCGTGTGAGTCTGACCCTCCCTCCGTGTGATTCCGACCCTCCCTCCGTGTGAGTCTGACCCTCCCTCCGTGTCAGTCTGACCCTCCCTCTGTGTCAGTCTGACCCTCCCTCCGTGTCAGTCTGACCCGCCCTCCGCCGACTCCGTCCTCAGATGAGCCGATGGAGGAGGAGGTGGAGCCTCCCGCCCCGGAGCCGCGCCGCAGCGGCCGGAGGAGCGGCGTCCACCCCACGCCCTCCGACCCGGCGCCGGAGTCGGCCCGGCCCTCCTCATGCCACAGTGACGTCGTTCCGCTCGGAGACACACCAGTAAAGACCGAGGAGCCGGACGCTGCGGCTGACGTGACCCCGACCCCCGTCAGGACGGCCAGGAGAGGTCGGCCGCGGGGCAGAGGTAGAGGCAGAGGCAGAGGTAGAGGTAGAGGCAGAGGCGGAGGCGGAGGGCGTGGCAGAGGGAGGTTGGTGGGACTGCTGGGAGTAGTGGGAGTACCGGCGGTACCACCGGCGCCGGCGCCGGCCAGGGGGAGGGGAGTCAGAGGCAGGAGGGCAGCAGCGGCGGCGGCGGCCGCCGCGGCCGCGGCCGAGGCTGTGGGGCCGAGGGGCAGGAGAGCGGCGGCGGCGGCGGCGGCGCAGCGGCTCAGCGCCGAGTCTCAGAGCGGCAGCGAGAGTGACGCCGAGTCGGCGGCGAGCGGCGGCCTCTCGGCGCCGGAGATGGACGCCAGTGACAGTGACGACGTGGTCTCGGTGCGGGGCGCGGCCGTGAAGCCGGCAGAGCACGTGGAGGTGGTGCTGGACACCTCTGTGGACGGGGACGGCGCGGCCGGGGCTGACGGCGCGGCGGAGGACAGCGGCGCAGCGGCGGACGGCGTCCCCTCCCCCGCCGCCGTCGATATGGATGACGGCGGAGCCACCTCCGATGACGGCGGAGCCACCTCCGATGACGGTGGCAGGTCCGATGACGACCGGGACTTTGACTACGACCCGAGTCCCGCCAAGCGGCTGCAGGCGGAGCGCGCGGTGCGAGCGGCGCGGGCGGCGCGCAGGACGGCCGCCCCGGCCCCGGCGCCGGACTCCAGTAAAAGGAAGTACCGGCGGCACGGCATCTTCTGCGCTCACTGCGGCCTGGACTTTCAGACGCGCACGGCGCTCAACAAGCACGAGCGCCGCCTGCACCGCGACGTGGCCGCCGTGAACGGGTGCGCCATCTGTCCGAAAAAGTTCAAAAGCCGCAGCTCGCTCGTCTCCCACCAGCGGATAGTGCACGGCGAGGGCCAGAAGTGCGACCACTGCGACGTCGTGTTCCGCGGCTTCATCGAATATTACCGTCATCTGTCGAGCGTCCACGATATTAAGACATTTGTGTGCGACCTCTGCGGCGCTGGGTTCGCCAAGCGCGTGCTGCTCAACAAACACCAGAAAAAGGAGGCCAGGGAAATCAAACTTCAGCAGCGGCTGGTGAGTGTGAGACTTGTGTGGTATTCTCACTGCTATGGGTACTTCATCTCTATGCCTTATTCATGAGTGCTAGATGTATCGTATGAAAGTAACAGAACATGTGCTGCTCATAAAGTGTGCTGCTTTGCCTGCTCGTTATGGTCAGCAGCAGCTCAAAGTCCGCCTGGTTGTACCTGCACTAGTGACACTGTGTCCGCTGTTCAGTGCCCACAAGGTCCGCCGCCGCTCGGACTGATGGCCCCTCTCCGTCCGCCAGGAGCGGCTGCGCAGGCTCAAGTGCTCGGTGTGCGACTACCGGCCGCTGATGACACAGGCGCACCGCGCCAAGACCGTCTACACGATGATCCGCGACCACGAGTACCGGGCGCACGGCCTGCACGCCACCGTGGGGCCGGTCAGTCCCGAGACACAGTCTGACTCTCCCCTCTCCTGGGGAACGGGTGGGCATAATACATCATACTAGGGTCTTGGATGCAAGGTAGTCGTTTCTTTTTCAAATTACAGTATCTGAATTATGACTAACTAGTCTTTTTACCGAGGTTATATCGTTCTTCTCATTGTTTTAATCAGATCCAATGGGGGATGGGGGCTTTTCTGCTCCATATCCACCTATTGTTGTAATCAGATCCAATGGGGGATGGGGGCTTTTCTGCTCTCTATCCACCCAGACCGTCTAACTCTTGCTCCCCCCCCCCCCCCCCCGTCATGGACCCTGAGCTGAATAGATTTGAGTTGAGTCGATCTCGCTGCCAGGACCCTGAGATAAGTCTATCCTGCCGCCACGCCCCTGAATTTAGTTGATCTCGCAGCCTGTCAGGACCCTGAGCTGAGTGTTTTTCTCGATCCGCCGCCAGGACCCGGTTGCGGCTGCCATCAGTGACAGCGGCGTGGCCGCCGAGCCGCCGGCAGCGGCCGCCGGCCAGTCGGCGCCGGCCGCCGTCGAGGACTTCATCACAGTGACGGCCAGCGGCGAGGTGACGACGCCGGCCGTGCCCGAGCAGCGCTTCCCCTGCAAACAGTGTGGCAAGGTGTTCGGCTGCCGGTTCGCCCTGAAGAAACACCAATACGTTCACAAGGAGAAGGTGAGCTCTGACGCTCGCCCGTGTGTGTGCGTGTGTTCTGGCCCACACTGCAGTGTTCGCTGCCTTTTCTGTCCTCGTGACTCACGGACTATCTTTATTATCATTGTGTTTTGTGAGACTTACCAGTCTTCGCCATCGCCGATCTCTAGATATATCTCCTGCCAATTCTGAAAATCGCAGTTCTCTGCGAGTTGTGACACATCGCTGCATCAATGTACGTTCTAAGATTTTCAGTCGTTTCGATGCGTTATTGTGTTGTGTATCTGTTAATCAGGGTGCCGCGGGAGGGTGGTCGGGGCGCCCCTTCTCTCGGCCGCTGTCTCCCTATCGCTGCTTCCTTACCTCCCTGCCCGTTGGCTGTCTGTGTTCCGGGCGGGACAAGGAGCCCCGTCCCTCACCCCGTCCCTCACCCCCTCTGTTCCGGACAGGTGGTGCCCACCGAGCCGCCGACTATGGTGGTGTGTGAGCTCTGCGGCAAGGAGGTCAGCAGCAACTACCTCAAGATGCACCAGGTCAGTCGCCGCAACATAGTGCAGGACATTGGTCGAGGCGCAGTATCATTACATATAGCATTTAATCGCCACATGCTGTACCTAAAATAAGCTTAAATCATTATTTTATTTGCTGTGAATCATTATATTATTTGCTTCATTTTATCAGTTGTGAGTACGACAAATTAATGGTAATGATTACTGAGCTAGTCTTGCTCTACGTCGGGAAGTTTCACCCAAACCAAAATGTGTAAAAGTTTATTTTGCTGGAGCCCGTTCAGACGATTAACTTCTTTCTGACCACGTCTTTCCTCTCAGGAGGTCGTGCACAAGGTCGGAGACAAGCCGCGCTACACGTGCAAGTACTGCGGGAAGCAGTACCACAAGACGGAGAAGGACCACTACATCTCCCACGTGCAGCAGAAGCACCTGCTGCACGAGTTCCCCTGCACGGAGGTCAGTCGCCCCGCCCCTGGACCCGGGAGGGGGGGGGGGGGGGGGTACACTGCGTGCGTCCGCTGCCACCTGTATGTAGCCCTAGCACGCCACTAAACCGGTTCACGCAATATGAGTCACAAGCGGAAACACAGTGATTTGCGTGAACTGAGGAAACACAATCGAAACACCCCACGTGCCTGGATGTTCGTCCACTCATAAGAACGGGTGACGTCATGGATGCTGACGAGTTCGCGGAAGCTGTCGACTCGGGGCCCCACGTGTGTGCTCTGTACATACGGGGTCGTTACATGCACCGCCATGACGTGCGGAGGCCATTGAGGAGCGGGCTACACGCGTCGGCTGTCTGAGTTTGACGTGTGTGCAGTAATAGTCCGGTGGAGACACGAGGGGGGCTGTAATGTGACTCAACGCGGTCAATATGCGACATTCGGAGATTCCCCTATCGCTGTGGTTTGGCATATGTCAGGGCTCGGCTCAGATGATGTCCATTAGCTGGGCCGTGCAGTAATTTGGAGATGTTTAGCGATAGCCTACTATGAGCAGCTGAATAACCGAATTTGTATTGCATATATGGATACGATTCCACTCATGGTATATCGATGTTGGAGTCGGTAGTCCACGATCACCAAACCTATGACAGGTTCTCTGGAATTCGCTGGGCAGTGATGGCCCGGACTGATTGACATCACTGCCATTTGACCCACCCATAGTCCCGCCTGCATTTCGGCATGCTGTCAGTCACAGGCTCGTTTCTGCAGTTTGTCGATCCGATCCTACCCCGGTCGGCCCCGTTGCGTCATCTCTGTATATATGTACCTGTATCTGGCAGTTTAACCAGCGATCGCTGGCTTCACGTCCGCGTCCTTATTGCGGTGGCTGGTTTCATCAGTCCCAATGGCTGATCGACGTACCCATTTCTGGGAATGGGTCGCACCGGACGGCCAGGTCACTGTATTGCTTATCGGACTGCGCGGTAGCCGGTGAAGCGACGTGTTTCGAACGTTTCATAAACCGCCCGGTACGTCTCATACGCGGGCGGCGGCGACTCTCATAACCGGGCGGAGTTATGACATTCAGTATTGGATGGTGGCCGCCCTAACAGTGTCGTTTTATTGAGCTTTTCGTATGCGTTCGCTAATACGGATCGTTCGCACTGTGCATATGAGATGGAACAATAACCCCACACCTTTAGCTGGCCCTACATCAGTTATAGATTGTGTCTGACGTCTTATTTTCCCATGTCTTCTAGCTCCCACTCTTTTTTTGGTATAAGCTTACCATATCTCGCACATGAGTCGATGACATGTGATGATGTTCGTTTTTTGCCACGCTCGTTTGGCGTGTGCCGTATAATGTACTACATGACTTGGTATGACGCCCCCTCCCCCTCACTGCTGTCTGCTCTGACCGTTACCCCCGTGCCCCTCCCCAGCCGGGCTGCGGCCGCACGTTCAGGCACGAGCGTGGTCTGCGCCGGCACGTGCACGCCATCCACGAGTTGGCGTACGTGTGCGGCACGTGTCCGGAGCGGTTCGGCTCGCTGTGGAAGCGGGACAAGCACCGCGCAGAGGAGCACGGACAGTACGACTTTATCTGCAGCGAGTGCGGGCTCAAGTGAGTGGGGAGGAGAGGAATGGATAGGGAAAGAGGGAGGGGGAGAGGAAGACCGGAGGAGGGAGACCGGAGGAGGAAGGGTTATGAGACTAAGAAGCAGGCAGGCATGCAGAGGACTGAAGAGAAGAGTTTTTTTTTTCTAGTAAGTAACATTCCAGTGTCTGACGCTGGCGGTTTACGGAGCTCCTGGCGCCGTGCCGTGCCCTGTCCCAGTCGCTCCGCCCGATCGTCCTGTGCCTGGGAGCTTCTGCTCTCGATCCGTCCGGTAACGTCCGTTTGGTGCGTCAGAGTCGGCGGACCGGCCCCGATTTCAGCGCCCACACCGGCGGCTGTTCGGTTTTGGTGAGAGATCCGGCCGGGACGGTCACGCTAGAAAAGAGTGGCCGACGAAAGCCGGGTACTGGGTTAGGAGTGCCACCAGACTGACTGGGGCCGCCGGTTGGCTGGTGTCATTTTACACGCTTAAGGCGTATTTTGTGGTGTTGTGAACGCGCGATAAAATGTTGGACGGCCGTGCCGAGCCTCACAGTAGCGGTCCGACGCCATATTAGGGGGCGGTCATGTGTCGGATGGCTGGGGAATTTTATATCGGTTCGATTGTATCAATATCAGTGCGGTACCGAACACCAGATCTGCTAATGGAACTGTTCACACCTGGAGGATAGAGCAGGCCGTTACAAGGCAAACACGGGGGAGAATTACGGGAGCACTCTGTTGTTTGCTGCGCTACTGTAACTTTCAATTTGCCTGGCCGGTTTCCTCATGTCGGTAATCCGATCGCATAAAAATTGTGTTAATAATCAATTTACATCGATCTAATTATCGTATTTCCTTTGATTTACTTATTTCCTGGTATCATCCCTTCGTACGTTCTTCCTTTGGATATATCGTTGCCCAATCAATGCATAATTTCGTCCTTCAATCGGATTTGCTGCACAAATCCCGAGGAAAGTGGCACTTTCCTGTGCATTCCCGCTGTGTTCACGGTGCAGTCGCGCAGTGTCGCGCCGTCCTGTCTGGCGGGCGGGCCGACCGCGACACGGAACACAGACTCGGTGGCCGGCACTGTTCGTGGAACAACTACCTCCAGCGGCCCCCGGTCCGCTCCCGGGCTGGCCCCGTCTTTGCCCCTGCCGCTCCCCATTTCCCTCCACAACTCATCTTACTCATTAGGTACTCGCAAGCTTAACTGATGGTGAGATCATAGTCTTCCGGGGCTCTTACATCTGTTCAGCCCTCCCCACCCCACCTCTTACCGTCTCCTCCCGCCCCGCCTCGGTCTGGCCTCGTCCCTGCCCCCTTGCCCCCGCTCCCACGCTCTCCCAGGTGCCGTCCGCGCCCCACCACCCCTCCTCTGCTCTGCCCGACAGTGTGTGACGTGCCAGTGTCCGCGGGACTGGGCGCTAATGGTCGCCTTGTCCGGTGGCTTGTTCAGGCTCTCTGACATGGAAAAATCACCTGCACGTGTCGCGTTTGGCCGGCCGCCTCTGTCAAGGCCGGGCCGCTCCTGGCAGTTGTCCTGTGGGCTGGGGTTTGTCGTGACCGCTACTGGGGGATGGCCATGCGTGCGACACTGGGTAGATGGGGATACAATCACGACACAGGCTTTACGGCGTAGCGTGGGACCCGGTGAGGTCACTGCAAATACGTCTCCGACATCAAAGGGTCATAGGTATTCATACATGTCTCGTGTCTCTGATCTTAGATGTTTGCTGAAATGCTAAGGCGAGGATTAGGTAGCTGAAGACATGACTGGAATGACTGTCTTCAATATTGATTTGATGTGAATGCATAAGTGAATTTCTGGCATTGGAAGATTGTGTTTCGATCCTTAAACGTTACGTACAGTTGAGGGAGAATTCATCTTTTCATCGCATATCTCAAAAGCCGTTCTTCAGTTAAGTAGACATCAAAGGGGGTTAATGAATTCGAACAATGACGCTCTTGTCCTACCAGTAACTGCGCCTGTTATGTCCACGACTGCATATTAAATCACCGGCTTCATTTTCTCCAGAACTCTGTGTCCGAGCTCTCTGGTGGCCGTTCAGTGATTTTGAGACAAACCAATAGAGTGATCATCATTTCCCGCCCTATTCTGTTCAGTGCCCTCGTTCTGCGCGCCACGTTTCCGTTGTATGTTGCGTTGTGTTTCATGCAGCCACCCCGCTAACCCCGCCGCCGTCCCGTGCCGCCGGCAGGTTCTTCCGGCGTGCCGAGCTGGAGATCCACGAGCGGCGCGTGCACACGCTGCTGCTCAAGTACAAGTGCTCCGTGTGCAGCATCCGCAGCGAGGAGCGGCGCAAGCTGCTCAACCACGAGCATACGCAGCACGGTCTGCACGCGGCGCCGCTGCCCGAGAACAACCCGGAGGGGCTGCCGGCCTACCCGTGCCCGGACGTCGACTGCTTGCTGGTGTTCGGCTGCGGCCTAGCCGTTAAACAACACGCCGGCGAGGTGCACCAGGTCAGTCACTGGGGAACGGCCAACGGGTCACTGAGGGAGGCACACCGGGTCAGTCACTGGGGGAGGCACACCGGGAGACACCCACCGGGTCACTGAGGGATGCACACCAGGTCAGTCACTGGGGAACGCACACCAGGTGAGTCACTGAGGCAGGCCCACCAGGTCACTGGGGGACGCCCGCCAGGTCACTGAGGAGGGAGAGGGGAGAAAGGGAGGTAGCCAGAGAGCGGGAGAGAGAGGGGAAAGAGAAGGGATGAATTGACTGGTCTCTGGTCTTTCGATGGGCCGATGATTCGGGTGATAGGGTAAAGGGCTCCTGCTCCGTGACCGATGGAGCATTGACTGGTCTGGTTCCTGAACCTGAGGAGGTCGGCACACGGCCTCGCCGCCCCGCTGTCGGAGGACAGCCCGGCGGGTCTGCCGGCCTCCGTTTGAGCCTGCTTCAGGGGAGGAGGCGAGCATGGGGCTCGCACTGAGACCCCAGCGTGTTACCGGTCGATGCGGGTGGTAGTTTAGCGTAGGATATGCTGGCTGGCTGGTGATATCTCCTTGTCAACAGATTCGTACGAATATTCTCCTTTTCAGTCTTACGAGCACACGACTATCAGACTTAGCTCGGCATAGCACACGGCGGGCACAATTAACTTATATATCTTTTAAACTAATTTTAATAGATGAAATTCCGTAGGTAATTTTATCATGTTTTTTTTTTTGCCGATTAGAACCAGAAAAAAGCCCGGGATTATCGCATGTTCATTGCACCATTTCATAGGTAAGTTCTCCGTTCCCATGTGAACGTTTCATGATTGCTGTTCCCATCACATTTCCTGCTCGGCCTGAAATCATTTATTGATGTTCTGTTCATAGACTGCATCCTAATTATACATCCCTGAAGTTGTATGGGCTCTGCTGCATTTGTACATTTTTATCGCATTTAATATAGCTAACTGATTCTCCTTTGCAGTAACGTTAAATTTGCGTAGTAATTTCAATCTTCCTTGCTTCCAGATAAGGCTGGACATTTATGGCAAGCCCAAAGTGCCCCTAAGAAAGCGAGTCGTCGCCAACAAAGCGCCGCCGCAGCCGGTGGACGTGTCGCTGGTGGCGCCGGGGCGGCAGCGGCCGGCCGGCCCTGCCGGCCCCGGCTCCTCTCAGTCTCTTCAGCTGGCCGGCCCGGCTGCTCCCGGCCCGGCCGCCCCGGGCACCTCTCTCCTGCGAGCTGTCCCCGCGGCCCACGGCGCCTCTCTGCAGCCGGCTGTCCCTGCCGGTCCCGGCCCCTCCGTCCCTGCGGCCCCGGGCACCTCTCTCCTGCGAGCTGTCCCCGCGGCCCACGGCGCCTCTCTGCAGCCGGCTGTCTCCTCGGCCCCGGGCCCCTCCGTCCCCGCGGCCCACGGCGCCTCTCTGCAGGCTGCCGGCCCGGGCCCCTCGCTGCAGCCGCCGGCTGCCCACTCGGACGTCTTTACCCACCTGCTGCACCGCGCGATGAGCGCCGAGGCCGGCGGCGGCCTGCAGCAGCAGTACGGCGCGGGCCCGGGCGCGCTGAACCCGTTCATGCAGCGGCCGCCCGCCGCCGAGATGGGGCTGCCGCTGCTGCAGAGACCGGCGGGTCACGGCGTGTTCGGCTCCATGCTGCAGTGAGCGGCGGCGGTGCAGTGAGCTGTGGGCCGTCTGGGGACCGGCTGTAGGACAGTGGAGGGCGGGGTGCGGGGGTGGTAGCGGCCCTGTGGTGTAACGAGATCGGCCAGAGAGGGATATAACCGGAGCGGCTGATGACGCCGTCTGGTGGTCTCAGGTGATGGGAGTCCCTCGTGTCCTCCACAGTGAGAAGTTCAGTATTATTTCCGGTTACAGTTACGTTAAAGGTGCGTTATGTGAAGCGATATCCGTAGAGCGCCTAGAAATCTGTATATAGGTGAAAAAGTCATCCTTCCACACATTTATGTGAGAGGGTTGTTTCGAATGCTGTTCAAAAGTGTAATGAACGATAGAACAATTGATTGCCCCTTCAAGGTTGATGATTCTCGCTCACTTTAGTTGCTCATATGATGCGTACGTTTACTTTCACCAATATCTGTTTACTTTCGCTTTTCTCAGTAGTCATTTTCAGTTTGTTTCCGCAATGTACCTTTGGTGCTGTTTCATCCAGGTCACTGAAACGTTTCCAATATGTGTGAATATTCGAACTGACCATGGAGTACTGAGTGTCCCCCTCCCAGGACTCCGTGGTGTGCGAGCTGCCACGCTGTCGTGCGTTGACGAAACTCTGCGCCTGTGACACTCGTTTCTCTGTGTCTCTGTGAGAGCAGTGTGCAGCTACCTGGGCGTCTGTGGGCGGCACGAGATTAGTTGATATTACCGCCAGCGCCGGTAGAACGTTCTCGGAATGGTTATAGTGCCCCCTCACCGGGTACCGCCACGTGTGGAGAAGTTCAGCTGGGTTCGTCCAGGTGCACTCAGCGCCGAGTAGTGTGTCGTGGGAACCGTCAACTGCCAGCTGTGTTGGACACAGACCATTCGTAATGTGATGGGACGTGGGTTTCTCCCGGAGTTAAACCACGCCGGGCTGTAGGTAATGTGTCTTCTTTTCGCTGTTTTGTTTTCTGTGCTGCCATGAGCCTCCTTTTTGCGCATTATTTTCATGTCATATCGACACAAGAGAATTAGGCTCGTTGGTTTTGCCTGAAGTAATCACTTGTTTGTATTCGCCTGTCATCTGTTCGCTTCCTCTGTTCTAATCATGTGTTGCAATTGCCTTTTGGGTCGCATGAAATATAACATCGATCCACAGTTCCGTCGTGTGTGCGGCTGAACGTGTTTGGGGCTGGTGCGCCGGGACTCGCGGCTCTTCTCTCCTCGTAGGCTCTTCGACTCACCAGGGGTCCGCTTGTCGAAGACAGGAAGGAGAGGGGCCCTTTGATGGCGCGAGGTCACACTGCAGACGTTAAAGACCCCGGGAGGCACCAAATAAAGAGAAAGGGGCATTCGTCGGACGCGGGAGGTCTCTAATGGCAGACGAGTTCATAAGCCAAGTTTACAGTCCACTCTGCTTCATGTATTGGGAAGCGTGCGATTGAAGTGATAAAACTCGCACATTTGAGACAGGTTACCCAGTATTCCGCCAAGGAGTTCTCAGAGATGGGTTGTTTTGCGGCTCCACCGCGGTGAAAAGTCGCCGTGTCTGTCTCAGTCTGTCGGGCGCTGCCGTCTGTTGCGTAACAGCCGTGAGGTCTTGGTCAGTCCTACCGAGCCTGTTGTTCGTGTCATACACGTTCTGAGTCGCCCCTACACGAGCATGGGATGTATCACGCGGGACGATCGCTGCTACCTGGGACCGACTGGTCTGGCAGGGAGAGCTCAGAGTGTGGAGGGGCCGAAAAACACTGGCCACGTCACCGACATATCAGCGTTCAGTGTGGCCAAATCGCTAACGAGCGTGATTGCGGAGATTAGGTGCTCGCCAATACACGGGAAGTTAACCCGCGCACCGACGGGGGGGGGCGGATATCCGCCCCCCCCCCTGAGGTTTTCGCGAATAACGGGAAAACCGCGGCGCGTAGCGCCGCGAAATTTGGTATGACTATAACCTCATCAATTTTATACATGGTGTGCAAGTTTGAACCTCCTACCTTTTAAGGTCAGGTCACCAGGTCACTTTGAATGACTCAACCTCAAGTCACTTTTTTGTAACTTTGTCACCGTGCCAGAGCTACAGTAGATGTCGGAGGCCTTTGAAAGTCGCAGGATATTATTAGGTCATTAGTAGCTACAATTTGTATATCTCGGAATTTTGATATCGGTGACCTAAGGTCAGGTCAATTTCGCGACCTCCCCATTATAAGTCAATGGGGGAAAAATCAACTCCCTGTTTTTACCACTAAAACGGGTCGAAATGGCCCCATATACCATACATGACTTCATATACGATCAACCTTCACTACCTTGAGGTCTGTTTTGCTGTTGGGCAGCTGTGAGGTCATGTGACGTCATCAAAGGTCACCAAAGGTTTTTGGCCAATAACTCCGTACAGGAACAAGATACAGACGCGTGGATGGTCTCATTGTGTTCAGCTCGTCAAGACGCATCGAATGATATACATGATGACCTCGAGGTCACGTGACCTGAGGTCAACCTTTGACCTTGACCTTTCGAGGTCAACATATATATCATTCGATGCGGATTGACGAGAGGATCACGATGATGCCCTTAGTTTGTTCCTATCTTGACTAATTCGAAAGTTATTCGAGAAAAACTCTCTCCATATCTAGCGCCGCCATTTTGACTTTTTCGACCCCTGTGACGTCATCTTTGACCTGACCTGAAAATGACCTTAGTAAAAATTGTAGATCTTGGCCGTGCGTATCCGATGCCGTTTACCGCTTGTCGCTATCTTGCTTCGTTCTCTAGATCTCAGGGGGGGGGGGGCGGTCATCCGCCCCCCCCCCGTCGGTGCGAAGTTGGCGCAGACCCCCGTCGGTGCGCGGGTTAATATGACAAAATAAATTGTGATGTGAGTGAAGCAGGGACGCGGGAACTACTTTCAGACTGGGGAGAGGGGGGTGAGCACACCATAATAGAGATCGACCTAGGGTATCCCCAAATCTAGTTTGCTTGCCAGTTTTAGGCCACTTATTTTTCATCCCTTGGCTTTTTGCAAAAAAGTGTGACATTCTGCCTTAAAATTGTGGAGGCACCGCCCCCACGGCCCCAGAGTTGGGGGAAGGGGGCAAGCTGCCCCCACTGTCCCCCCGGCTCCCGCGCCTATGGAGTGAAGTAAAAACTACACGAAGAAAATAATATGGCAAGGGGTGGTTGATATCTTATAAAAATCTATCGCTGGTATATCTTGCCGTGATAGGGCAGTCGCGGCATTATGATTCATGATGATCGGTATGATGATCGGGATTGCACAGTAGCGGATGCTTTATAAAATCACCAAAGCTCGGTGTCGTATTATGTTCGGGAAACTCCGAACAGTAGCTCGTTAGCCGTTGTTTGCTACTGTTGACAACTGTCCGGACAAGATCAGAAACAGATAGGTCTAGTTCAAACATCTCATTTATCGACCAATCAGGAAGGTTGTGCCGTACTATTGTAAAAGGAAGAGCGCCCCTTACCCAGAAGTCAGAGTCGTGCTGCGTCACGTACAAGCGTGCTGTGCAATGAGCTCGCGATGTGTTTGACGTGCTTTGTTTGAGACATTAGGAGGCTTATTTGTTCCGTGTAAGCATTTGTCATCTGCATTGCGGAACTCCGTCCTTTTTTACGCTGCTCGGTTGCCGTTTTCCCTCACTAATATGGAGATGTGGATCATCTTGCAGTGAAATGAAGCCAAAAATATAAACATCAATCTTGAGATTTAGCATCATGCTGCAAATGTTACCGTGGCACGTCGATCTGTGTGATGGAACCACATAATTCATTTCTTCATTCGATACAAAGTGGTTGTTGCCTCACAGTTTCATTACGCTCGAAATAAGGGAAAAATAGAAATAGCGTTTTATTGGCGTAAATTATCGGATGATAAAGAATAAAGATCGACACAAAAAAACGCGGCCGCGGCTGATGCTGATACCAACTGGCAAGTAGAAGTGGTAACGGAACTGAGATGGAAAGTGGCGTAGAATATTTCAAGAGGAGTCAGCCGTTGAAGCTTATAAAATTGCTCCTAGATGGCGCCAGCATAAACGCCTGGAAGTAGACTGCACCGCATGTCCGCTATATTGGATGGAGTTCTATAGCCTTGATTGGACCGTCTCCGGCGGCTAACAAGCAAACTGCTATCTAAGGAGAACTGACTTTTCAGTCAGCGATCGAATTTTTCATGCATGCGTTGTAGGCGCATACTTTTATTTTAGTGTGCCTTAACCCGCGCCCCGTAGGGCTACCGGCGGACCCTACCACCCGTAGGGGGGGGGGGGGGCGTTTCGGCCCCCCCCTAAGATCTCGGAAAGTTACCGGCCGATTTTCAAAATTCAAACGGCGTTCGATAGCCCCACCCGGGAACTACCTTGTGACCAAATTTCATTGACCTAGGTCAAACCGATGACGTCACAGGTCAGGTCAAAGGTCAGATTTTCACCGTTCACAGGCAATTCAAGAAATGTGCTGTGAAAGCGAGTAAATTGGTAATTTATTGAAAACCATCGATGGTACATTGTTCGTCAAACACATACTTTGCTATCTGAGGTCACTGATACCAGGTCAGGTCACAGCGAGGTCAGGTCACCGGGGGTCACAATATGAATGTGTCGTGTGATACATGTTTTATGGTCCATTTTACATGACAAATGCGATTATGTGGGTTAGGCAGCCTTTGGGGCCAGCCTAGGTCACGTTTTGGTGAAGGTCAGGTCAAGGTCAGGTCAAATTAGGTCAAATTTCAAAGTTGATATTTTTGCATAAAATGGGCATCGATTCGATGCAGCTCGTCACGGGGAGTCTAATGGTGGTCTTCGTTTTGCTCTACGAGTTCTAGAATTGCCAAAAATTGAGTTTGAAAATTTGACGTCATCATTTTTGAACAGTTTTTTTCGCTATAACTTGGCCAAAAAACGAGGTATCGATCTGAAATTTGGTATGTAGATAGAAGACGGTAGGCACTATCACATATATTCCGGTTTTTTCGAAACTCAAAAAACTTTTTGGATTTTTTGGCGAATATATCCAAAAAAATGCTTTTTTGATTTTTGGGGGCCAAAACTCAAAAAATTCAAAAATTCGAGATAGCAGTTTTGTAGCCCTGTCAATTCTACACCTTTTATGTCTTGATCATTTTTCTGTATCTTCAAAGCTGTAGTCCTGACAGGTCTTCTCGCGAAGGTCTTTTTTCGGTCGAAAATGACAGAACATGACGTCACTCTGACGTCATTTGTGGCCAACCTATCATAGCCTCTGGAAACATTTTTGGTCACAATGTGTAAAATTGATGCCCTGAGGGGTCCTGAAAGTTTGGTGGCGATATCTCCAGCCGTTTAGGAGATATCGACCGAAAAGGACAGGGGGGGGCCGTTTCGGCCCCCCCCCCTACGGGGCGCGGGTTAACCCTATTCCTGGCGGGGGGGCCTCAGGAGCCCCCCCCCCCCTGAGGTTTTTTGGTTATTTCTCCCAAACGCTTTGAGCTAGGAAGCTCAAATTTTCTGACAATTACTAAAAGGCTTTTACGCAACATTTCTGAAAATTTTGAGTTGATCTGACCTCAGGTCAGGTCACCAGAGGCGGTTTGGTGACCCTACCTCAGAAAAGTTTGCAATCACGCCAGAGCTAGAGTTTTCGACCGATCAATTTCTTCTCTTCAGGCTTTAGTTAGGGTACCAGTATGTGCAATTTGTTTATCTCAGCATTTTCATATCTGTGACCTGAGGTCAGGCCAGACTCGTGACCTTTACATTGCAAGCCTATGGGAAAATATTGAAACGCCTCCTGCTTCGTGTAAACGAGTCAAAACCACCCAATTCTTTCAGTATTATGGAAGATTATCTCATCGGTGATGATCCTGGTGCCGCTAATTGACAGGGGCACCGGCAAAGGTCATCTGAGGTCATGTGACGTCATAAATCGTTTTTCTGTAAATAAATCACGACATGATGGTGCTTAAGACTTGTAAGTGGTACCAAACTGCTCGCCTGGTCAAGGCGCGTCGTTGGGTATGCAGCATGACCATACCCCACAACCTCATTGATGAATGACCTGACCTCGACCTCAGGTCAAATTTCAAATTGACCTGTGAAGGTCATCACATACTTATTTCGCATCGCCTCGGCGAGAGCAACAAAAAATGTATTGGTTTTA